ATATCGAAGAGCCTAATTCATACATTTCTACAAAGATAGATTTTGAAATAACGTATTTTTTTCATTTCATCCCCAGTAAAAATGCAAGTGAAAGAATATGAGAAAAAAAAAAAGCATTATTAAGGAGAGAGACCAGTAAAAGAGGAAGAATTAAGAAGACAGAAGATAACGATTGACGTTGCATTTAAATTTTTGAAGATCAACGTTGACTGGGAAGCAAGAAGCCGGAAGAAAGTTCCACAAGTGAGAAGTGCGATAGAAGAAGCTTTTAGCATAGAACTTACGATTACATCTAGCCGCCATTTCAGTTGGCGCCAATCTAGTACTGCGTTTAAATTCATAAAGTTGTTTTTAATATTATATTAATATGGCTGTCATTGGATGGTTGAAACTCGTTGTAACAATTCAACTTAAAATCAATTCCTAACCAAAACCTAATCAGATGTGCTTGCTTGATGCTAAAGTCTTTCATCGCCTACTAAAAACTACCATATATCATGGCTGGAATAATTGTATCACGATTGAAATTATAGTTGGTCAACTCTTTCATTGGCAGTCAGTTAGAGATGAAACGGTTAAGTGTGGTATAACAAGGGATGTTTACACCGAGAGATAAAAAAAAAACTATAATTTTTATCGTGTCCTATTTGCGATAGTCATTATCATAAGAAACACGCTCTGTCATATCGACATATACGGAAAGTAGCTGGTGTATTGGTAAGGTGAAGGCGAGTGGAGGATGGGAGTTCTTTTTAGACCGATGTCCAGGCTAAAGTGAAGAGCTGAACGTTGCCTGTAGAACTGGGTGAGAGGCTAGGGCTGCATTATTCGTATTCATATAACTATAAGAAGGTGACATTTAAAATTTCTTCGATATATATTGAGGAAAGACGACTTGGGAAATTTGACACTCACAATTTTACACTACCCAACGAGTTTTCTGTAAATGGATAGACTTTTTATTATTTGACGTCAGTCGAGATCATAGAATTCACAATCCGGTGAATCAGTTAATAAGTCTATAGTCTTTTCAATTCCGGTGTAGTATGCGCCTCGCTAGTCCAACATAAGAAGACGTTTGGAATTCAGAGTTGTCTTTCTTCTGGGTTGATTTCAACAGCTTCTAGGAAGCCTAGTATGGCTTACTATTTAACCCATGGCTGAAATGGGAATGGGATAAATGGTTGCGTACATTTTCGAAGGATACTTGTGTGAAAGTGAATGTAAGGAACTCAAGCGGAATTCGAACTCGGATCGCCGATTTCTCTTTCAGAGTCATTAACAATTACACTAACTGCACATCTAGACAGATAGCAGAACAGGGACTGGGAGGAACAGAAAGGAACACATATCGCTTACAAAAGATAGGAAGTTGTGGAAAGGCATGATCACCTACGTCATCAAGGGACATGGCATATAAAAGACTTCTTTTTGTCGGCTTTGAGTCATTTTAGGTTAAACAAAATATCATTTGGGCATGTGTGGGTGTATAGTTGTTATTCATCTCCTTTGAGATCTGTTTGTATATCGTCTTGAAGAATGCTGGAAATTGTGAGGAGGATCAGAATACGACGCTCTTTGATGTCATTTGCAACGGTGAATGGATTTGTGTCTCTTGAATACTGAAGAATTTGGTTGGGCAAAAAAATTTCCTTCGGATTATCCAAAGGCCCGATCTGCTTATAGCATCAATTGCTTTTGTCAATTTAACAAAGATGCCATTGGTACTATTTGCTTTACTCATAGTAATCTTGGCTGTTAATTGTCTAGTAAAATTCTTGCGTAGATTGTTTTTCAGCAAAAAAAACAGTGGCGTGATACTATGTTACTTCGATCATTTTCTTGAGACCATTTTCTTGAGAGTCACGATGATGGCGTCTTTCAAGATGTGAATCGCTCTTCATTGCTCTTTTAACTTTTTTCTAGATTTTCAGAAATAATTTTTGTATGAATTTCTAAGATGAGGATTACTCATTATTTACACTATTTATATTCGGACTATTGTCCTTATCTTTGTTATTGTTATCACACATTTCGGCCGTTGTACCCTTCGACCTTCCTCAGGTGTATATTAACCTGGATAACCTACTGGGAATACTGAACTGAACATTTTCTTTAATCTACGGGAATAGACTGCTCAGGTCTAAAATAAGAACTGCACGATACCCTTAGATATTAAAAGCACTTAATTCTGAACCGACTATTAATTTCAAACATCGAACATCCTAGTGTGAAAATTTTGCATCAATATTTAGCTAACCGCTACATGTCAAGCTGTGGCATTATTTATGAAGAAGGTATATTTTGGCAGCATTTATTCATTCAAACAAGTTTGATGAAATATAAACGACATGGTCTGTCTGTTTAATTTTCTATCATTTTTTTCCTAATTTTCGGATAAGGTGTTGAGTCTTGAGTTTCTAGTTGGGGATAAACTGCCCGACGTCCATATTTTGTTATTTTTGTTCAAGTACTTTTAATTATCGCAGTTATCATAAAGGACAGATGCAGTGTATCTGTGGTGTAACGGTTGTTGGGAACGATGTCTCTCTCTCTCTCTCTCTCGATAAGTAAGCTTCTAACCCTATTCAAATTGCACAAGCCTTCAGTGAAAAAGGAAACTAACACAGAAAATGTCCTCATTCCTGCTCATTTATTGTGAGAGAAATCGCCCTAGGGAATGATTTAGAGTTATATTTATGCAACATGTATTCAAGATTGATTAAAAAGAACCGACATGGTCTGTCTGTTTAATTTTCTAAAATTCTTTTTGTTGAAGCTTAAATAAGCATGGAATAATACAACACAAAATGTACGTTAACAAAATGTATTGAAACAAAGAATAGGTACACAATATTTACAGTTAGTTTGGTATATTCTTGGGAAGACTGTTCCTGCATAATGGGTTGACTAAATCGCAGTCGGGCAGAGTCTCTGGATTCAATCTCTTAATCTCTACTATCTTCCCCGTCTTCCGGTACCAACCCATATTTATATGGTCGGTAGTCCGCTTATGTAAATTAGGTGTATCATACACAACACTTTTTCAATTTTCGGATAAGAATTTGAGTGTTTTGCTCTAAGTGGGGGATAAACTGTCAGAAGTTCATATTTTGTTGTTTTTGTTCTTCTACTTTCGTAATCCGCAGTAAAAATCGTAAATATTTGAAGAAAAAACAAAAAACAAACAAACAAAAAAAAAAAAAGGAAATATGAACCTCGAAGAGTTTATCTACAAATTTGGGATCAATACTCAACACTCATCCGAAAATTGGAAAAAATTTAATAAAATTTAAAAAGACAGACCTTAACGGATCTCTTTAATCAATCTTGTTCATATATATATATATATATATATATATATATATATATATATATATATATATATATATATATGTATGTATGTATATATATATATATATATATATATATATTTAAGCAGCAATTTTTCATTAATGCATGTTTCATTAAATAATATAGACAAGTATTGTCTATTTCTTTTAAGTAAGTTCCTTTCATATTGTCTGATAAGTTTAATCACATTATCGTTAAAAAGACGAAAGGGAAACACCATATTGCTACATGTTTAAATCCAAACTAAGCTTTTGGCTTACATAAGCCATTATCAAAGATGACAATTTCAATAAATCAAACAACACACGGACGAAACAACAATGATAGTCCGCCCTTGCTGCATAAAATATGAAAGGAACTTGCTTAAAATAAATAAATAAACTTGTCTATATTATTTAATGAAACATGCATTAATATATATATATATATATATATATATATATATATATATATATATATATATATATATATATATATATATATATAACAAGCTATAAGAAAGAAGAAAAGACCAAAATGCATACACCTACCTAAACAGTAAATAATAACACTGCTGAACACCTAGGCTATCTCGGCAGAGCAAATAATGCTTTATAGTGTCAACCCTCAACGATGGAGATACTTACGATCGTCAGGCGAACAGAATGCTATATATATATATATATATATATATATATATATATATATATAAGGTATATTTATGCAGTATATATTCAAGATTGATTAAAGAGAACCGACATGGTCTGCCTGTTTAATTTTCTAAGTTTTTTTCCAAGTTTCGGATAACGTATTGAGTCTTGAGCTCGTAGTTGGGGAAAAATCTTCAGTAGTTCAAAATTTGTTAGTTTTCTAGTGTTATTTGGGAAGCTGGAAATTTGAAATGTGTAACAGCTATTGGGAAAATCTAACTGGGATTAAAGCCATGATTAGCTGGGATTCGCGAAGCCTCGAACCGCCCGCAAGAAAAATAACTGTAATTAAAAGAACTAGATAAAGTTGATCTTCCGTGGGTGCTACATGAATCTGATCTTGTGCCAAGGTTGGCAAATATATATCTCAATCTTCTTATATATATATATCGATCCTTTTTTTTCGTTGCCCTTTTCGCTCGCACTCTCGGTGGCCATCTTCTCCATTCTCTTTTTTTCCAATCTGTCTCCAGAGATGCCTTTTTGATTACTTTTACTTTAAATAAGACGCCATTAAATCGAATCTCTCGCAATATCTTGGCTTTCAAAACAAAAATTGGCAAACTTAAGTCATCAGTCAGACAGGGGAGATAATCAAGTAGTATCTCTCTTGAGATGACTTTGACAGCGTAAGTCTTCACCTTTATTGATACACTCATGTCATTTTATACAGAGAGCCAATGAACAAATTCCAAGACTATAGTCCGTAAATCTCTTTTTCGATTGCTTTAATTAGATTGATGTAAATGTAACAGGTAGAGTTGTTAATGTGGTATTTACTTGGCTAAGCCCAAATAATTGATGCCAAATCATCATGTTTTAGCATACAATAAAGATTATACGGTAGAGTATAGGTTATCAGCACAGGACTGGAATTGGCGTCGAGAGTTCAAATTTACTAACTTTGCACTAACGACCTTGGAAAAGGCGTGGATCTTTTTTCCTCCATCTGTGGGCTTACGGCCAAATCACGTTGAAACACTGGCTTTCGTCCGATCGCCAAAGTTAAGACATATTTAGCCTGGTTAGTACCTAGATGGGTGATCGCTCGAGAATACCAGGTACTCTAAGGTTGGGTGTGCGGGTGGTGTCAAGAATAATGGCTCGGAACTGTTAATCGCAGACTCGAGTTCTTTATATCCTCTTACGTGCAAATACCCTTGAGAAAGGTATGACTGCACCTTGTTTCCTCCCTGCTATGGGTTAAATAGTAGGGCTTGTATCAGTAAATCATTGCTCTCTTCAAAAAATTATAACAATCCAAAAATATGTTTCGGCTTTAAATAATCTTAAAAAGATAGCTCGGTAAGAAAACAAATCTATCAGACATTCAATCCGCGACATATATTTGGAATAGCATAGCAGATGGAGCTCTTTAGCCGTGGGTGGTAGCCAGTCTAGGAGATGGCCAACTCTGAATTTAAAAATAGTCGAAAGGTTCTACCGAATCATAAAATATTTACTCCCGTACAGAAAAGAAAAGAAATGGCTAAGAACCGTTACTATGTTTTATATTTGTTCTTGATTTTATTTATTATCGATTATATTATTGATATTGTTATTGATATTTTTGAAATGATATTGATTTTTAATGTTATTGATTTTATATTTGTTATTGGTTTTATTTATGTTGTTATTTTATTCAAACTGAAATCAAATATCGGCTGAAAGTTTGACCAAAAAGTGTCAGTTATACGAATACAAACTTCCTTCGAATGTTCATTCATGTCATTTCCCCTTTTACGAAAGACGAACATTAATACACATTTCTCTGGTTATCAAAGATGGCGTGAAACGAAAACGCATATAGCATTAATTTATAATTTATATCGTTAAATATTTTAAGCGTTCTCGAACGGAAAAATAACTCCCTTCTATGTTTGCCTAAGACGATGTCGGAAATGAAGGCTCATCGTCTGTTGGAGATGATATGGAAGGCTTGACACACAAAAAGTACGTTTCACGGGTTCGCCTTACGCATTTTTCTTGACTTCAATTGTTCGTAAGCGCATAAAACGTCTTGGAATGATATATTGATTTCAAGACTTTTAAGTTAAGTCATACTTTTCTGCAATGATTATTTTACTTTGATGTGCCACCTCTTTTCAGGACGTAGACGGTCACGCCTCTCTAGAATTTCTGCAATCGTAGTGAAAATCTCACACTAGGAATGCTCAAACTTATTCCGCTATAAAGTAATAATTATTGTTACTTCGATTGCCATTTCGACTTTTTGCTGGGTCAGGATGGCGTACGATTCGTCAGAGTATCTCGTGGACATAGAATTCTGATAATGATGTATAGTCTACACAATTTACATTATTCGGACTATTGTTCTCATCTTTGTCGCCATGTTTATCACAACGTTCCGGCCGTTGTACGCTCCGGCGTTCTTCAGGTGGTTGGAATGGCGAACTGAACCCTTTATTTCACTCACTGGGGTAGACTGTTCTAGTTTCACTATGCCATGTGTCCTTGAGACACATTTAGCGTTAGTTAGATCCAGTGACAGGACCCAAAGAGTGTGAGTTCAATACCCGTTTAAGGCAGTGGAGAACTTTCAGAGGGGAATTAACAGGAGATAACTGACATCCATTAAACATGGCACTTGGAACTACCCCAGTGAGCGAAATAAAGGGTTCAGTTCGACATTCCAACCACCTGAAGAAGGTCGGAGCGTACAACGGCCGAAACGTTGTGATAAACATGGCGAAAAAGATGAGAACAATAGTCCGAATAATGTAAATAGTGTACATAATACCTCATCTCAGAAATAAAGACAGATACTGATGGATTGTTTTTTTCAACGCTTTGGATGTAAGACCAAAGCTGCGCGAAGTCAGGAGAAAAATGCAATAATTATGAAGTGAAGAGACGCTTTCCGTTCCCATAGTCCATAGAGAAGCTTAGGTCAGCATGGCGAAATGCTAAGCCAATGATTGGGCATGTGTTTCCTTAAGTTCTTCTTCTGGAAGTCTCCTAGAATTGATGCTACCAAGTTTTTCCCTCTTGTATAATAAAACGAATAATAGAAGTAACCATTTTTTGTTGATACAGTCGATGAAGCGTCTTTGAGGGCTCCTTTCTTAATATGATTGAACTAGGTCAAAAAAGAAAAAGGAAAAAGCCTCGAACCACCTTCAAGAAAAAAATAACTCTAGAAGAACGAGATAAATTTGAAGAAATTTTGCATTCACCAGACAAAAATTCGATACTGCTTTCATTTCTTTTTTTTTTATTTTGTTCTGCACAGGTATTTAAATGCTTCCTATTATGAATTCTTAATTACTTTTCATTATTCACCATTCTCGAACAAAATATTGAGTTAAGAAAATTTCTTTGTGCTTCTTATTAATAAATGCTATTTGCAACATAGACACAGATCCATACAAACTAGCCTGTCTAATAATTGGTCATGGTTTAAAGTAATTGACAAAATTCTCAACAAGCAGAATTGGCAAAATTCTCAATAAACAATAAGAAGAGAAAGAAAAATAACAGGTCAAAATAATACTAAACAATACATACACACACACACACACACACACACACACACACACACACACACACACACACACACACACACATATATATATATATATATATATATATAAATATCAAGGTACAATATAATAAAAATATCCAAATGTTGAACAATTTTTCTCTTTATTTTCTCTCGAAATTAAAACAACTATACGAAATTTCGAACGACTCATGATCAACATAATAGACATAATAGCATCATATATACATACATATATATATATATATATATATATATATATATATATATATATATATATATATATATATATATTCATGAATTATTCATACAAAACAAATGCAAAGGTTAATGATTTAATTGGCGAGAAATCCATCGTCGCAAACAATTCAAATAATATACAAAAACCTCCGAACCTGTTATGAATGAAAAGATCCTTGTTTCTATAAATTTCTGCTGCATTAGTTCTTATTTTTACTACGTATTTTATTGTATGAATAATCCATGAATTTGTAAATTGATTGCACGTTTATCGAAATATATATATATATATATATATATATATATATATATATATTCAGACAAGCGGACTGAAAATTAAGCAGTTTTCAATCTACTTGTCTGAATCGTCTTCAAGAAGCGAGAGCAAAATTTAAAAGGCCAGCCAATCTAACAGTGATCTCATCCCACAATCCTCACTCTTGTTCCATATGTGGCCACCTTTTTAAATCACTAGCGGGTATTAAGTGCCACTTAAGATTATCGCACAAAATTCCATAACTATTACAATTAAGCTGTCAGATCCTCATATGTCAAAACCGACATGTTCTCAAAGTAAGAATTTTATACCCACACAAATGTGATAAAGTCAAGTGGTTATAGCAGTTCGACTTCAAGACGAGAAAAGAGTAAAAATATGGAAGATGTGACTTAGAATTGGTTATTTTTAAGAAATCCCAGCATACATCTGTAAGATTTGTTTATAAATTTGGAAAGTGGATATTCTTAGCAGTCATTTAAATGTGATTGTGACCAATAAAACCTTCAAATAATTTATCTTCCACACTTCGTTAAGAAAATGTTATATTTGTCAACGGTTAGACCCTCGATCTTCTCATGTGTTAACTATTCGTAACCAGACATTAGACAAAAAGATAAGCTTGCTAAAATTAAAAGTAAATATTCAATGTAACTGAGCAAATAGTGTTGGCGATGGAAAATTGCTAAATCGATCTAAGATTGGTTCAAGGTTACGCGAGTAGAGCATTCAGACCGCTTGACAAACTCGCTAAGCAATAATTAATCATGAAGCTCTTTCATAACAAAACGGTAAGAGGCAGTTACTGAGTCTGTTGTTGAACTTTGTTTTCAGTCTTCGTTGATATCATTTTGTGTTGGAAATGACTTTATCAAGTCTTTGAAAGGGTTTTCTTTTACGATTCTAGTTTTAATAACACGTGATTGGGTGACAAAACTATCCCTCTCGCTCTCTATGAACAAAATGGTGAAAATCTACGAGATTAGAATAATTCACAATGATAAAAAAAAAAAAAAAATATACTCAAACTTATTTGATTTTCGTTGAAAAAAATATTTCAAAATGAATCCCAAGGAATATATTCACATTTTTTTTATCATAAGAAACTACATTTACAGGATTACTGCGTTTGCCAAGTAAATAAAATAAATTATTAAAAAGACTGAATATATTTAAAAAAATCACATTTCTACAGATTCTATCTTTTGAAATCAGAAAACTAAGATGGCTGCAAATTAGCTTTTCCTGCCGTCTGCTTATGAGGTTAAATAAAAATGGAAGTAACTGAACCTGTCTCTTTTATAGGAGGAGATAATATCCACTGATTATCTTTAATGTTATGGCATAAATATTTTTTATGCCTTACGACCAACAAGATAACAAATACACTATATGCGCTTTTATTAGGCAAGTCAATATTTTCACAATCAAAATGATATTAACCAAACGATGTAGGTAACATTTTCAGGACATAATTATATTTGTATAAGCAATATATCATTTGAAGTTCAGTACCTAATATTATATTATTATATTATTATGTTATATATAATTTTGGGGATGTTAGGTTTTATGTAAATAAAATAAAATAAAAAAATCCAAAAGTTGTATGGCACGAAAATCGAAAATTAATTAACAAACTGTATATTATATTCAAGTATTATTTCACTATTTCACATAGTCGTATGGGTTATATGAGATTCTGTTGCTTTCATAAAATCTTTCACTTACTAAATGCCATGTTGGGTATGATGATAAATTACATCCGGCATCAAGACCTCTGATCGGAAGATTGGAGATTTTGAGGAATATGGAACAAGCTCTTAATTCCTGTTGTTCTTAGATCCACACTGACTGGGGTAGTAGCACCCACAAACAAAACTCTATGAAAGTATAAAAATGCATTTTTATAGCAAAAATACCAACAATAATATATATATATATATATATATATATATATATATATATATTTATATATATATATATATAATTATTTTTAAAATTACAAAAAAAAATTATAACATA